CCAATGGACGAAAACGTCATGCTGTAACCGGGACAGGTCCACCTACCTATGTTTACTCTTGTCGCATTTTTGACATTCGCAAGCCCAATTTTGGGGATCGTTCGCCAGAGCAGCTCACACCTTTTTTTCCTTAATTAAGCTTGTTGTTGATAACGCCGACATGGGGATTATCGCCGAAGTCGCACGCACCTCTTCTTCACATGGGAACAGTACGGAGGGTAATGCAACTAAGTGTGAGCGCCATACACTAAGTGAACATGTCACGGATAATACTGTTAGACCCATCATGGCTACATCGTTGCACCCGAGGCAAGGCTACAGTCATGTATGTACATACCAGCAGCAGGCAACATTAAAGTATTGGTTGCTGAACCGCAGCCACACTCACTGAAATGAGCTCACCAACACGCGAGGAACACAACGCTTCGCACGATTTCCCATCAGATACCGATTGTGTCAGTGTCGTGACTTCCGCCACCTAACAAGCAGAATGGCGTTGAATCGGCCGATGCGACCGACAAACTCAGTTTTCATCACAGGCAAGGGCGTTGTGTTCCTGTTGCCGACCCAAGCGTTCCGCTGCGTCTTCTACCCGGGTAGATGAGGAGCCCAGGATGCCTCCGGGGTACAGTGACTTAGCGATGTTGGCTAACAAACAGGTCACAGGGGTATCTTAGTGAGGTTGGTAAAAACACAGGTAACATGATACAACGCACGGTACACCATGGTTCCAAATAACAAAGTTGTCGAAATGGAGTCGAGACGCATAGTACAGTATCGGGCACTGTATTCTTATTTTTAAGATACGTTGCCGGTACACTTTTCTACCTGTAGGCTAGTCGATCGTGCAGCACCAAACATGTGACTTGCATAGTCTAGAAATCTACAAGGGTGTGTTGAGAACATTATTATTAGGATCATTACCTAGAAGTGGTGCGTGATCACGAGTGTCTTCTTGTGCAATTCTGCTCGAGCAGCACCTTTTCGTTTTTTGTTGTTGCTGTTTTCACTTGTGGGTTGTGTGTGCGCGTGCCAAGCATCCGTGCTTGCGTGTGTGTGTGTCTGTGTATTTGTGCACGCGTGTGCGCGTGTATTATTATAAAGTAATGTTTGCATGTGTGGTTCCTGAGTGGATAAAGTCGGTACGCAGCATTATGTACAATCACGGTCAAATGTTGACTTCCCCCCTGGGAAGAGCCGTGGGATTTTTGCACCCCCTGATATTATGCCGATTGACCAAACATACCGCGATGAGCTCAGGTCGACCGGTCTTGGGTTAGCAACTACTATAAACTGGAATTTTAGGGAGCTACTGTAAAACCGGAAAGTCTAACGAGTCACAAAGTCTAACGTTTTAACGACCAATTTTTATTTGCTATTTTGAGGAAACGTTATCCCGAATCGAGTGTGTGAAAATGCGCATACATCGATGCATATTCTTGGTGGTCAGGTAGCCATCGTTACATATTCTGCACGCTATCATGCCAAAATTACAAAAAGGTTAAAAACATTTTGATCGTTAGACTTTCCGGTTTTACAATAGTTCACGAGGAGTGGGAACAAGCAGAAACATCTTTTCCGTCTTGAGACAATTGAGTGTAGATAAGAGCTGTTGAAAAGGTTATAGGCACATCACGTACATGTGTAACTCTAAGTAAAACTAAAGTCAACGACAACACTGCACACGAGATTCAATTGAGCCGAAAAAATGTCATCCGGAGAATCGAGTGTGTATTGGTACACAATAGTTGCCGACTCGAACTCAGAACCTCTGAAGGGTTACTTGCAGCCATTCAGTTTGATTTCGCCTTTTTCGCATGCTCGTCGTACAGACCTCAAAACCTTGTTCATTACATCTAAATTAGCGCCCGCGGCCACCGGTGGAATTCACTTTTCGCCGATCACCAGTGACCTATAAGTATACTGCACCTGCTTCGGGAAGCACTTCAGGGGGAATTCCCAAATATTAACCCTCCCACGCAGGAAACGGGGGGTATTGTAGTGAGGTATTTACACGAGGCGATGGTGTATTTGGAAAGCAATTTGGCCAGCAGTCCCTCGTCACGTTGCAAAATAATACACACGACACTGAAGTGGTAACAGTTGGAAGACTTTTGCGAGCATGCCGGGACTTCAGGTGCGGCCACAAAGCCATGCTGTTCATGCTACACATGTACTAGGCATTGTAGGCCACGAATCCCACGATGCGTATGTAGGCCAAGAAACGATACACGCACAGTAAAATACAGGAGCTCGTCGAGCACAGATGTTTTCCCCCTCCCCACGCATGGCTTGAAAGGATTACTGATCTTTGAGGTTTTCATATCAGGGAAATAATCTGCCTCGAATCAAACCAATTCACCGCACGGAAGTTTGCTAATCACTGGAGAGAACATCGTTGCATAGCAACAGTACGCTTCCAGACACCACTTTCACTTCACACACGAAGTGCAAACCAACGCCTAGGGCTGGCCTTTTCCTGTTCATCATACTTGCAGGTGCTATCACCTTTATTTTTAGCATGGACGTGGACACGGGTGCTATGTTTGACAGTCTCATGGCTGCACTCCATTCATCGGAAACAGTCCAGCTCGCTTTTGAAAGTCCGATTTGGGCCGAATTGAGGATCAAAACCCACTTTAAATCTCAAATATCTGGGTTTGGGATCCGCTTTTCCATACATTTTGCCATGGCATACCTGTCGTAATTTGGTAAAACCAGGCTGAATTTCAATTTCTCTGTTCTTGGACTTTTCTGGCCTCAAATGTAGCAAGGAGCACGGGTCACACAATGTAGGATGTAGTGTTGCTTTCATGATATCTACACCTATATGTGGGAGACACCAAAAAGTTAAGGTGCCAGTTTCCAATGACAGGACTGTTGCGCAATCTTACTCGCTTACTTCAGTTCGCCTCCGAAGCAGAGCCAACATGTAGCAGGTCACCAGTCACGATTCAGACAAACAGTTTTCATGGAGACAGAAATGAAATCAACGCAATACATAAGGCAAATGGCGCATTCAATAAACACACCATTGGCCCAGGTTGCTGACCCGTTCCAATCACCATTGCCACAGGTTGCTGACCCGTGCCAATCACCATTGCCACAGGTTGCTGACCCGTGCCAATCACCATTGCCACAGGTTGCTGACCCGTGCCAATCACCATTGCCACAGGTTGCTGACCCGTTCCAATGGTATGTGTATTGGATGCGCAACCTGTCTTATATTAATTTATTGCGTCGATTGAGACAAACCTAATGTTTCACTGTTCGCCGATGACACCACAGTTTCCGCTTCAAGTAGTTGCAGGCAATTGCTAGTTAATGACCTCCAGAAAAAGATAAACTCCACCATTTCTTGGATGTCGACTTGGAAGCTGAGACCGAACACTAGTAAGACCAAAGTGATGTTCTTCTGTAGCGGTGCTAGTGATCAGTTCTGTAATGTGTCTTTATCATGTCCTGGCAGCTCGTCAACCATAGAAATTGTCCATGAACATAAGCACCTTGGTATAATTATTGACGACTGTCTAACATGGGCTCCTCATGTAGACTATATTTGCAAGAATACTAGTAGTGTTCTCGGCATACTATATCCTCATCGTTCTCATTTGCCAAATACATGCCGTTCTATGTTTTATCGCTCGTATCTATTACCTATTTTCCAGTATGCATGTCAGTCTTAGTGTAGTCTAAGTCAACATCGTGTGAACAAACTTGAAATCCAACATAAATCTCTTCTTAAAATATTGTTTAACAAGCAGCGTTTATTTCCTATAGTCTTGAGCTCTATTGTATCAGCAATACTCAGCCACTGCAAGATAATCGCAAACAGCAGCTTTGCATTTTGATTCACAGAATTCGCCTATGTAAAATTCCCATTCATCTCTCCGTAGTCATTTGGTTTTCTCTGTCCCGGTCCACTCGTAATAGTCTCTCACTTCCTCGTGCTAATTCAGCCGCATTTACCAACTCTCCTTTGTTTTTGTCCTACAGCCTTTGGCTGCAACTTCCCCAGCATGTTAAGACATCAAACACATGTCTTTCCAGCTTCAAAAATGCACTCCGATCGCATAATGTAGTACGATAGGATCTCATTGCTGGATTCTTGTCTATCCTTCTTTCTTCTCTTTTTCTATATTCCTTTCTTTTCCTTTCTTGCCGTTGTTGGCTATCACTCCTCTCTCGCACTTTGCGTGCCAATTTGTCATGAACCACGAGTTGAGTGAAATAAATAAAATAAAAAATAAATAAAAACCCTGAGATTTCTCTCCAATGCAGCATACTTGCCACTGCATTGTCTTGCATAAAGACTGTCTGAATTCCTAATTCATTCAAAAGCCTGCGTTGAGTACTGTCAAACCGGAAAGTCTAACGACTAAAAAGTTGAACGTTTTTTTGTAATTTTGGTATGATAACGTGCAGAAAGTTTAACGATGGCTACCTGGCCACCCATCTGTATGCACATCTTTACACAGACATCTAGCGATCAGTGTGACTCGTTAGTTAAGACTTTCCAGTTTTACAGTATATGCCTTATTTTCAAGATCCACTTTTGGTACAAAACCCTGGTTTTCATGTTGACATACATTTCAATACCCAGTAATTTTAGCAGCAGTCTAGCACTGAGATCGGCAGCAGTGACGCCAGTGAGGATCTACTGCTGTAACTGAAGATCATCTGAAAGACAAGAATTGCGAATTCTTCACATTGTAGAACTCCAGTACACACAAGCAATGGATAGATGTAGATCTACATCGTATATAATGCGCTGTTTGGGATAAGCCACAACTTGTAGCGGTGAATGCAAAATGGCTATTCAGGGACACGAAGTGCGTAGGGCATGATTGGTTTCGGCCCTGCATCAGATCATGAGAATGATGTACTTCAAACAATCTTGCCCCTGGGATGAGTGTTTGTGTACGTGGGGGCGGGGCGGGGGGGGGGGGGGGGAGGTGGGGCCCGCCTGGAGCGATAAACTGAGTCAGCATGAACGTATGTAAGTTGTAACAGTCAGGAAGTTGTAACTGTCTGGTTGGAACTCCAAACAAAAATTTAAAAAAGAAAGTTCAAACGTTTCATGTCGTCTACATGTGCATGTAAACGTGTAACCATAATAATTATAGTCAGTAGGCCTATAAAATGAGTAACTCTTTCAATTCATGATGCCAAACTTTGAAATGTCCTATAATGAGCTCTGGAAATGGGCTCAGCCGATTACGTCAACGCAGTTTCCGGTGCCAATAATGTGTAGGATTTCAAACAATCAAGAAAATGCGTCAGACCAAGTAATAGTGAAGATCATGCAGTGGCCGTACACTGTGGTCCAGTGGCACAACTAGTCGTGAGGACTACAGATTTCAACTAGAAATACATTTTTATATAGTACACATGCCCGAGTAAATGCGATAAACGGCATAAAGACAAATTGTCACATGCCTGTGAAACCACATAAGTGGATACATTCTTGAACACAACAATTTGCAATGTGTAAGATAAGGCAAATCACCCCTCTTGTGAACAGCTCAGTACAGCACTTGATCGTCCTCCGGTGCAGTAACTCCAAAGTCGGGCAACCCGTCTACATCCCTGGTCAGGGAAGACGTGTTTGGATTGCCATCCCAGGTGAAAGCCACCGACACGAAGCTATCCGTTCTCATGGTCGGTGTGGCCGGGGCCAACAGGCCTGGGTTTGGCGAGAGACTGGATTGTTTTTGTGTGTCGTCAGTCTCAACTGCCGAGGGCAGATAACTCGGGGTCCTTGAGAGCGTGGACTCGGCTTCCATGGGCAGCTTTGATACTGACACCGTGGGAGATAGTGTTGGAGAACTCAGATTGATTTCGTGAAGATGCTGCATGGTGAGGGCGTCTTCATCCAGCTTGCGTTTCCGCTTGAACAATGAGGACCCTGATCTCTCCGAGGATGAGATGTCCGTGAACGACGTGCCGTATGTTCTGTGTGATGAGAGTCGCGGCATGTTCGGCATGCGAAGGCTTGGCCGCGACACCGACGGCATGCGGGAGCTGATGCGAACTGACCAGCGGCGACGTACGTCCTTCGACTTGAGTGTGTACATGAACAAGCACACACCCTGCATTGCGGTGCTGATCGTGAACAGGAACTGCAGGGAGACATGATCGATCACCGACACCAGAAATCCAAAGATCCAGGAGAGGCCGAGAAGAGCGGACAACGAAACGGCTACCTTCAGCAGATAGACCTTGCCCTTGTGCTTTGTTTTGTTGGAAACAGAGTTCTTGCCTCGCTTCTGTAACGAGTGCACCACCTTCAGGAAGACTACGGCGTTGAAAGAGACGCACAGTGCCATTGGGGCGACGAAAGCACCATAGAATACCGGGTTGCTGCTAATCCAACAACTGAAGGGGGAGAGAGAGAATTCGAGAGAGAGAGAGAGAGAGAGAGAGAGAGAGAGAGAGAGAGAGAGAGAGAGAGAGAGAGAGAGAGAAAGAGAGAGAGAGGGAGAGAGAGGAATAGAAAGAGAATGGGAGAAGAGGCATGAACAAACACACACCCTGCAGTGTTCTTGGCAGTGTTCGCACAGTCCTAAGCTACCCATGTGTATTCACATAGAGAAGAAGAGAAGCAACAGCATTCGGCAATTGAAAATTCTGCGTATACTGACTGCATCACCACCTATGCGCCCGGTGCCTGACCACACACACTTCCCATAACAGCAAGAGGGTCAGAATACACTGAGCAAGACTGCAATTACAAAGAACAAATTCAGCTTACTATTGCTGGTTCCCATAAGCTTCAAATTGAGTTGCACCTGCCGACGTAATTACAATGGCAGATGGCAGAACTGTATATGCAGAAGCACACACACATGTACAAAGATGCACAAATCACACACACGCACACACACACACAAACACACACACACACACCCACACACACACACACACACACACAC